TTAACCGTTTCACTGCCTTCTCCTGCAGCCAAGTGGTGACAACTCGGCAATGCTGCTCACAGAGAAGGCTGCCTCTTGCCAAGGTGCAAAAGCAGAGCGATGTCCTCCAGCTGCATGACCACGCAGAGACATCCTCTTCTTGCTGTTCACCTCAGGTGGTGGAAAGGACTCCAACAAAATCCCATCAGCTACAGGGGATGAAATACATTTGGTTTATTTCTTTCTAAAGTTTGTACATATTACATGTATCATATACATAGGTGAGATCCTTCACTGGGGTCGCTCGATTTCAATTACATAAAAATTATTAGGAAGCTTGCAGGCTCTCTATTGCCCGTAAGCAACATTTATTCCAACTTATAAAAACACAGAGTAACAGAGTAATAGTCAGGAACATGGACACAAGAGAAGTCTACTTTATATCTCACAGTTTCAATACAACAGAGGCAAGTTATTTGTTTGTATACCATAGGCTTACTTTATCAGCAATGATAAAATAGAAGGAAATATCTATATACAGTCACCTCAAGTGAAAAATAAAGCAATGTAAACTTAAGTTCCAAAATATTATTTTAAATGATATAAGAATATCCCCATGAGTCCTTTTCCCTAGGGAAAAAAGGACCTATTAAGTGCCTTCATTTGTCAGGAAAAGATCATTCTAGTACCAGTTACATGAAGTAGAATAGGGGATCCAAGGGCATCCTGTGGTACCTGTAGAAAAGAGTGACAGCTCTGCTTCAGGAAAGCATCTCTGCGTACGCAAGTGTTATGTTCCTATGGACATCAGCAGTGCACGGAAACATCTCCCATGAGCAAGGGTGGCTTTAATCCCACACAGCTGGGATCCCTGACCACAGCGCAGGAGAGCACTTTTCTGGCCATGCACCTCTCCAGGGTGGAACAAGGTGCCCTGGGGGTAAGGTAAGTGCAAACCTGAGACAGGGATCACCACAACAGTCAGAGCAACAAGATTTATGCTGCTGGAGAAGACCTGGTGATTGTCTCCGCGCTGCTTGGCGGACCAGGACGCTGCCGCAGAGCAGCGAGGCCAGGACTGCATCCCGAGCGCGTTGCACGGGGAACACTCCAGCACTCCGGCCACGAGGGCAAGCCAAGCTCCAGAAAAGCAGGCTGCAAGTTGCTGCGCTTGGCAGAGGAGGCAAGAGGCCTCGCACGGGCTGCTGCCCTGCTCCACGGCCACATCCAGGGGTGAATGCTGCCCAGCACTGCAGCCAGGCTCGGCCTGTGCAAAAGGCTGTGCATGCACACGGGCACGCCGCTCTCTGCAGCGCCGCTACCAGGACTTACCCTCCTGCACGGGGCCCAAGCTCGGTGCTCAGGCTTGGCCTACGGAGAAGCGGCGCCGCAAGGACACAGAAGGTCTGAGCTTCACCCAGCTCGCTCAGACCCCTGGAAGCAGCTGCACGTCCACGAGTCTATGGCTGCAGGAGGGGATCGGACCCTAACACCTCGCTGCCCATCTCCTGGGCTAGGGCAGGCCTGGTGCTGCACTGACTGCAGCTTCATAGGAAAATCCACTGGGYCCCATTGTTCAGACCAGCAACTTGTCAAGGTGGTTCAAGGCTCCCCAAGAGAAACCTCTGGGAGGGATTTGAGATGCCCAARGGAAACATTTCAGTGCTCCTGTTCTCCTTTTCCCTGCTGATGAACTGAACAGATTCTTCTGGAAATATGTACAATTGCAGGAAAAATAAAAACAACCAACCAAAAAACCCCAAAAACCTCAGCTGCTTGATTATACCAGCAAGAGACATCACAGGCACCTGTGCTGCTTGGGCAGTCTCAGACATGATGTCCCCTTGCTGAATATTCACCGAGTGAGGCAGAAATTTTCAGAAATAAACTGTATTTCCTACAGATTCCTATGGTGTGATTTTCAGAAGAAGTCTGCATGGATGGTCACAGTGCAGGCAACAGCTGACATCAATGAAGGGAGAGTTAGCCCAAAGCTGAGCAAGCAGCAAAGCCTTGCTGAGAATCTCCAACGCAGTTAGATACTTCCTTTTAGGATGTGCAGCAACAGGCAGCCCCTGCTGAACAACACAGAGAGAGCAGGGGAGCTCAAGGGATATGCAAAACCTGCAAGAGCTCTGATGACTGCTTAACTTCATTTGAGATCTAGAGCAACAAGCATCTTACCAGTGTTAGCAGCTGCTGAAGTGCCTGGCTTGGAAACAAGCCTGGGAAAGGAAGGATAGATTTTGAGGTGCTGAGCCACAGAAGCCACACCATACCTATGAAGCACATACACACATCTGTAGGCATCACTTGAGCACATTTACCAAGTAATGTAAGCCTCAGGTGGTTTACCTCATGAGAAAAGCAGTGATCTCAAAGTTATCAATCTGCCAAAAAAAAAGATCTGTCCTTTCAGCCAAGTTATAGCCCCATGGTTCAGGTGAGAGGACATAGTTGGCATGACTATGCACAAAAAAAACAAAATTAAAGAAAAAAGGCAGTTCTCATCCTTGAGCTTCTCAGGATTGGACAGCACTGAGCATGAGGCTTTCGTGATGTGTAAGCTCTTTGAGACTTTGGTCCGTGATAGCTTGTCCTCTGAAGCCACCTGGGTCTTTCTGGAGTTGCTCCCAATGTTACAAGCGACACAGATGGGGTATCACAGACCTCCCTTTTCCCAACAAAGAGCTGGGGGATCCAGAAGAAGATCTCATGGCAAACAAATCTCTGCTGCAGCTTGGCTACTTGCTCTGCAGTTAAACCAAGATATATTTATTTGGCCCAAGGCAAAGCTGAAACCTTGCCTACTGACATAAAAAGCATCTTCTTTTAGTGGTCCTMCTAATAAGAGTTAAATGCGAGACTGGTGCCATACAGTGACTACTAATTACAAGGGTTTGTGTCAGAGAAAAGTCCTGCCCTTTTAATTTGTAGCACTTCTAATCTCTTCACTGCTAAGTAGTTCACTTTACACTTGGTCCAAATAAACCTCTGGCCACTAGCCCAGATGATTCTTGGTACAGATCTAACAACAGATGCCATGGGAGGTCAGGTCCCTCACTGCTTAAAAATTTATAATTTTTACAGAGTACTTTATTGCTCAAAGGGGAGGACAGAAGCACTTCAGGCTGGTGTTATATTTGCTCCTTCTGACCACAGGAGCGAAGCTAGGTCAATGGTGTGGTCTTTGGGAAACCTGTTGCTCGCATTTGTTGATTATTTATGAGAGTGCTTCCCTTAGCACAAAGCCTCAACGCGGCTGACAAAATGAATGGTCAAGGTACCTTCCCTCTGGGCTGAGCCTGCCTCCTTTCGCTGTTCAGCTGCACGTTGCCAACAGGAGAGCAGATATTCACAGAGGACGTCAGGACATGGTGGGAGACCTCTGAGAGAAAGGAGAGGCCAGGCATAGTGCACAAATACGCGTTAAAAAATATCCCCGTTAAGTAGAGGCTGGAGACCAGCTCTTCCAAAGAAAACTTGTGAGGCAACCTCTTTGGCTTGCCCCTCAAGGCAGCCTGGACAGCAGGCACCGGCATCGGGAGCGGTGGTGGTGCTTGGGATTCCCAAACCATCCTGGCGGAGATGTGGTTCCTGCGCCTTCCAGGAGGGCCTGAGCTCCGGGAGATGCCCGGAGGGCTCCGATCGCCCAGCCCTGCCCGTCTCCCCACCATGGGAGCTGCATCTCCAGGCAGGGTGAGGGCAATCCAGAGCTGCGGCGTTCCTGCCCGCACCATGGGAAGGGGAGCTGCTCTGCGGGAGCGGCTGGGGCGCCGGGATGACACGCGGGAGCAGCTTGAGGCAAGAGGAGGAGGAGCGGTAGCACTGACTGGGATAAGGCCAAAACTGACTCAGGGATGCAGAACGCAGACGTGGCATTGCGAGGTGCCGTCAAGAGGGGAGGAGCCTTCCCTGTCTTCCAGAAGAGCAGGACAATCCCTGCAGAAACTCTGCAATGCCTTTGTCACCTTTGACTCTCCCACTGCCACAACCACCTTCCAAAGAAAGAGGCACCCCTAAGCAAGCAGGAAGCCCTGCCATGGAGGTGCAAAGCAGAGGCCTCATTGCAGGAGGACGTGGGAGCTCTGGGAAGGCCCCGAACCAACAGGCCGTGAGAGACCCTGGGGCCTCTGTGTCCAACCTGGCACCGCTCTCCAGAGGACTCCCTGAACGTGGAGGGGCAGCAGCGCGGCAGGAGGTGGGTGCCCAGGACAGGGCACTTGGAAGGGAGCGGCRGCGGCGCCTGGAAAGCTCCTTCCCCCTTTCCCAGACGTGTGGCTGGAGATGAGGCGCTGTCCACGTTGGCTCCGCTGCGTTAATCACCCAGCTGGGAGACGCATCTTCCTACATCAATGGAGGACATGGCCTAGGTCCCGGATGAGGCGGCCACACTCACTGCTCCACACGGGATTCATCCGCACATGGATGCTCTCCCAGAGGCTCTCCCAACCAAGGAGAACCACGCAAAGCCCATGCAGGGTCCTGTTGACTCACATGGCAGTTCTCTGCTCTTCCCTCCTCTCCCTGTGGTCAGGGGGACCTTGTGTAAGCAGAGAGGCCCCATGGAGGCCTCTCCTCCCTCAGCAGGGCAGAGAGAGCAATGAGCAATCTCCAAAGCAAGGGCCTTTGGGCCTCATGCTGCTCCCTTCCTCACCACCACCCAGGGATGCAGCTTCCCGAGGTCAGGAAAGACCGCGGGGGAGGACCACGCATTGCTGAAGCAAAGGCYGGCGCGCTGGCTGGACACAGGCTCTGTGCTGGAGCTCCAGCCACAGCCTAGAAAGAAAAGCAGGACTCCCGGGCATCACACAAAGGTATCCGGCCTGTTCCCCTGGCTGACAGCCCCTGCAGATCCCCCCAGCCTCCGCAGCGCCGTCGGAAAGAAAGGAGATGACTGCGCTGCTTGGTGGGGCACCTCGTCCCCAGGGCCCRCCGGGAGCCCCGGCCATCCGACACGGCATCTCCTTGCACCCTGCTCTCTCCACTTGATGGAATATGCACGTCTACCTGGGAGCCTGGGGCRCGGGCAGTTCACAAAGCTACTGAGCAAAATGGCATTAATTGCAGCGTGCAGAACCGGGCAAGTTCTGGTGACTAATTCGCACACCTCGACAGTCTCACCCACGTGCTCTAAGCTCAGCAAATATTTAATAGCTAAAAACTGCAGTGAAGAGCTGCATTGGCCAAGCTTGTGTGAGACATGAAAAATAGGCCACAATCCGTTTACAAGTATACATGGAAATATAGAATAAATAATGAAGACTGAAAAAATAAATTAAAAAAACACACACTTTTGCAGTTCACTATTCAACTTTTCATACTGCTTCTGATCATCTCCTCTGCAATGACTTTGAAGATGAATTAACCAGTTTCTGTGCCAAGGCTGCAAACACCTTTTACAGGAATCATTTCCTTTGTGAGCTCAGCATTTCAACTGCAGTCTAGAACAGCTGGAATATCTCAAAAGCTGGAAGGAAAGTTAATTGCCACCTCTTTGCCTGTAAGAGCGCTGCACTTCCATCACTACAGGCTGCTGGGCATGTTCCAGGCTGCCTTCGAGTGTCCACCTAGAGAACCTTCCTGCAGGGGCCACAGCGGGGCTCATCTGCCAATGTGCACTTCTTGTTTCTGTCTCCACTCTTGTTTCTGTCTCCACTCCACGCAGCTCCACACGTGCCATGAAGTGTGATACCCAAGAGGACAGATGCTTTCTGCTTGACCAAGTGCCTCCAGCATTCCCAATGAGGATTCATTCCTCCCGGTGCAGCCGCTCTTGGGGCTGTTCTCAACTACCAGCTGCAGCTGGGTGTTGATCCACCACAGGACAGCGAGCAATCCAAAGCACCCCTTCCAGGGAGGGGAAATTCCATGTCCACATTGTATTTCTTCTGCAGCTTTGGCTCCAGGCGCAGTGGTGAGAACTGACTTGGTTCTAGCAGGGYGTGAACCTGCTCCTGTGGTACTTGCTGTGACAGAGATATTGGTGTGGTCCTAAAATTAGTGGGGGTTGGAAGTACCAGCACATTTCTTGGTCTTGACTTATCATTGCAAATTGTATCCTGCAGGAAGGCTGACCTGAGCCAGGCACAACAAAAAAATATAATAGCAACAATTCTCATCTGATACTCTAACAGAACCTCTCAAGATGCTCTGTGGAAAAGGCCAGCATGGTTAAACTATTCTGCATACGAGATGTGTGAGGCATAAAGGGAGAAGAGACCTGCCTGAGCTCRCTCAGCAGGCCAGTATCAAACCTGAGATTAAAACCCAGGGTGTTAAGTACCGGGTGCGTGTGTGCTCTCCACAGCGTGCTCAAAGCTGCAGGGGCTGAAAGCAAAAGAAGCATTTCTGTGTCATCTTCCTAATCCCTGCACACAAGTGCCCAGACTGGCGACCACACAGGCAGCTGTGGAGCAAAGAGGGGGTGCTGAGGTACAGAAATCTTGAGCCGCATTCCTGCCTCTCCGTGCTGAGCGGGCCCCTCGCAGCCCACGGTGGGACGTGTTGGAGCTGCAGGGCAGGACAGGAGGTGCCAAATCTCCGGCTGCTCTGTCCCGCAGAACSCAGGCCGGAGCAGCCAGGATGGCACTGCCCCCCAGGGCACAACCTGCCCCCTTCTCCAGCCTGCACCAGCCTCTTCTGCTCCAACACGGGCTGCAGCAGGGAAACAGATAGCGGAGGAGAATCCCTTCCTGAAGAGAAAAGGCAAAATACTCTGTCTCTAGCAGAGAATTTGCAAATATCTGTGCATACAGACACGGAAACTCCTGGAAGGGGGAACATGGATGAATGATATATTGTAAGGCTCTCTATATAGCAGCTAAGTGAGAAAGTATAGTTAAAAACTACACAAACACCCTTTGTCTTTAAAACACAATACTTATAATGGCTAGCATCTACAGTAGCCTCTTTGCAAATAAGACTAAAGCCCAGGCTCGTTCTGGCTGGGTAGCCCTGGCCACAGGGGCAGCATGGGTTTGGACATYCCCCAGTCTGCTACCTCGGGAGGAGACTTTTGGCGAGGAAAGAGAAACAAATGATTCCAATGCTGACATCCCGACAACCCCAGCGACTTCCAGGCTTCCTTCCTTCGCAGTTTTGGGTCCGGGGGTCAATGTCACAACCACAAGCAACAGCGCCTTAGTTACTGAAGCACCCACGGCCGAGCATCAGTACCATCTGCTCTGCATTGTCAGGAAAACACCATTTCCAGCATCCTAGGCTCTAAGCAGCCTCCTGCAGCTGCCTATGTGCACGCATCTCTCACAGCAACAGCCTGAATTCACAACGCTGCAGCATTTGTCCAGTTACACTTCCCACCGACCACGTAAATAAAGTGGCAAGTGACTTGAGAGATGAAAGCCACGTGCCAATGGGAGGAGATAAAARGGGAAGAGACAGATAATAAGTCACAGCAGTCTTCCCCTCCGCTCAAGCTCCTTTAGAAACAGAACAATACAAAAAAAATCCCCAAGGATGTGCTTCAGTCGCTAAAGGATAAATTAACAAAGCAAAGCAAATCAGGAGCAAAGACATCTCCCACAATCTGTACAGAAACAACAAAATATACAATAGAAAATGTCACTAACACCCCATTCAGGCAGATGCACTTATTTTTGTGAATGACAGCTTATCAAAGGAAAAAAAAAATGTTTGACCACCGGTACTCTGCTGCATGGACGTTCCCCTGGTTGCCATTTATCCCCTAAGTGACCTTCTGCTTAACGCTGGGTGTTTCTGGCCTGTAGTCCTTCCTCTCCGAGACGTTGCGTTTCACCTTGGCACTGACTGGGGACTCCTGATTCAACGAGGGGCTCGAGTGGGATTTCTTCAGGCCTGGCCCGTCGTTCTCCCCGCTCAGCAGCTCCTTCACCCCGTCTCTCAGCAGGCCAACATAGATCTCATAGCGAGTTTTCTGTGGAGAGAAGAAAAAGGGATATAAAAAAAAAAAAAAGAGAGAGAAGAAACAGAGGCTTGAATCACTCTGGGGAAAGAAAGAAATAATTACAGGAGCACTTGAGAGACAGTCTGGGTAACACAATGTCTTCTGCTGGCCTTGAAAGCCAAGCGCTTCATCCTTACGTGAACAATGGGGCTAATGTGGGCTCAAACAATAGTGTCTAAMGTGCCCTGCACTGCGGGAGAGGATTCCAGCAGGCCGAGCCCCGGGGGCTGTGCAATCAAGGCACTGCTTTGTGCAGCACAGAGCTCCGCTCCGCTCAGCCGCCCTCACGGTGCCCACGGGGGCTGCCCCACATCCTCCTGTTGATCTGCAGCAGGTTCCCTCTGCCCCGGCCTCTTGCAGCTTTCCCTTTCCAGCAGGAAAGCCCGTGTCACAGCAACATCCTCCTGCACAGAGCATCTCAGCAGCCAAGGAAATGGAGGCAGATGAACAGAAGCTCCCTGAAGATGCCTCTGAAGATGTGGAGGGTGTTGAAAGCAGCAATCCACCCTACGGCATTTGCTGCACAGCCTGTCCCTGACAAAGCCCCCGGTGACGCAGTGCACACATTGTGTCGAGGTGATCACACTGGGCCTGGGTGTTAAACGTTTCCACTGATTGTTAAATCTGGTTTTCCAAGTAATACAACAGCCACTAAATTATTATGTTCCTGGCCGAGTAAAAAGTGTTTAATGAAAATTCTTCCAATTTATAATAAAAATAATAAAGTTCAGGCAATAATACTACTTATTTGAGTGCCTTTTCCGAGGGCAGAAAATAGAAAAGCTTAGGAGCTGCTTTCAAGAGTGAAATGAAAAGAAAAAAACAAAGGAGAGAATGTGACTGGGTTTCCAAAGAGTCCTTTGAATAAATAAAATCTCATAAAGGAGGATCAAAAGACAATCTGCCTAAAAATTAAATGAAGGAAAGCATTCTTATCAATTCCATATCTGGAGCTGCAGCTCCACAGTGCAAGAGACAAACGTATTAAGCAGGTAAGATGTGTCACTCAATAAAAAAGGAAAGAGAAAAACAGCAAGCACAAGTCTGATGATGCTGAGGGCTGATGAATGATTCATCACACAATGAACGGGACACCTCTGCAAGGAAAGGATGGGAAGCCAGTGCTCCAGGCCTGGAAACAGCCCAACATTCCCCAAAGGCGAGGGCGACATCCCTGCCCTATGGATTTATGCATTTCATCAGGCCAGTGAACACCACCAGGGTCACAAGACCTGGCAATCAGAATGGAAACCTGGGAGCAGCTTTTGCCTGGCACTTCATTCAATGGGCATTTTGCCTGTGAACTTGTGAGTCCAGAATTTCTGCCTCAGTTAAAAAATATAYTAACAAGTTTCCCTTTCAAATTCAGCTGCAGGCTTGTTCTCTTCGTKTTACGACATTTGGAGCTAGGTATTCCTAGTGGTGGATTTTTTTCTTTGAAAAAAAATATAGAAAATTCTGTCAGAAGAGAAAAGACATAAAAGTTAAAAGAAAAACACGCAAGGGCTTTTGCCATGTTGTCTCTGAAGCCTGACTGCACACAACCAGGAGGAGCTGAGGTAGCCATCCAGCAGATTTCTCTGGTTGCACCTCTCACCTGACAACACTCCAAAGCTCCCTCTCACACCTGGGATTCTCACCACGGGCAATCATCATCTGCAGCAGCATTTTCAGACACCCAACAAAGAGGAAACTAGCATGGGGAGAAGCTCAAGGCTAAATCTCTGGAAAAAAAGAGACAAGCAACTTCTGGTTCACCTCCACACACAAGGAGATGCCATCTCACTTGTCTTCTGTTGGGAAGAAGAATGAAGGAAGGTGGCTAAGGTGGCTGAGGAAGAGAAATTGCAAGGGCATACAGAGACATAATATGGCCTGTTCCTCCCTAATAGGACCRTGCTGCTTCCTTCCTTTTACTGACTTCTGTGGATATATCCGCATGCTCCTCTCCCTTGCAGACCACCTTGCATGGATCTGCATTGATCCCCTCAGTCAGAAAGAGCCAAGTGCAAAATCCTGCCCTTTTGCTTTGACCTCATGCAGCAAAGTCTGTCACTAGCTCCTGCCTGGCACTGACAGGACTTTGTTTTGAAGGGAGGGGAGAAACTGGCAGGAAGGGTTCCCAAAAACAAGGGAAATTTTCCATTCTTCACATARCTCTCATGTTTTCCATGTTTACAGTTGCATGTGTCCTGTGAAAAGTGTGCCAAGCATGAAGGTAACATAGCTTTGCACACCACTTGTGGTTGCTTGAACCACTTTTTTCTTGCACCTGACAGAAGCTGGAATATCATTTGCCTGTCCAGACTGTGTCCCTCACACTGCTGATGACACATGTGAACTGCAAGGTGCAATGGTTAATCAAGTCTATTGCTAGGGTGGAGGTTGTTTCCTGTGCTGTAGCTCTTTTTCTTTGAACAGAGATACCTGAAAGAAGCAAACAACAAAAAAAGCACAAAAACTTCTTTTGTTATCAGTCTTCCTCTTAAATCATCAAACGCTCCAGCCTACACTTCACCCTAACTCAACATGCTTCCAGAAGCAGGAGAAAATAAACTCAGTGTCAGTCAGCCCAAACCAATTAAACTCTTTATTCTCCTACAAAAACTCTGCAGAGGAAAAGTTTAAGACTTGCTCCGCACATCCAAGTACTGTGCTCAGCACTGACATGAGTCTTATAGAAACCCTGTCCCTCTTTTCAAGTAGACCTGGGCTTGATTAATTCCAGAAAACCAGACAATCCTCCCTGCTGAGCAAGGCATCAGGGCAAAAAGGTCACACGATTCGGGATGGCAGCACTTGGAAGGGACCCCTGGCAGTCACCTGGTCTAAGTCTCTTCCACTCAAGAGAGGGTTACCTAGAACACCTTGTCCAGGACCATGCCCAGGAGGCTTCAGAATATCTCCAARGATGGAGGCTCCACAGCCTCTCTGGGCAACCTCTCAGGTTCAGCCACCCTCTCAGGGAGAAAGGGCTGTCTGTGTTCAGAGCGTCGTTCCGGTGCTTCCTTTGTGCTTCCCTTATTGCCCTTSGCTCCAGCCTGGACAGCCCCAGCTCGCTCAGCCTCTCCTGCAGTGCAGATGCCCCAATCCCTCTGCTGTCCTGGTGGCCCTGCGCTGGCCTTGCTGCAGCAGAGCCCGTTTCTCGTGTCCTGCTGAGCCCGGGGCTGCATCCAGGCTCCCAGCAGGGCGAGCCCAAGGGAACATCRCTCTCGGCCCACACACTCCTCACGCAGCCCAGGAGCCTCTTGGCCTTCTTGGCCACGAGGGAGCATTGCTGCTCACAGTCAACCTGTTGTCCACTCGCACTCCCAGGGCCTCTTCTGCAAAGCTGCTCTGCAGCGTGTTGCTTCCCACTCTGTAGTGGATCATGCGGTTATTTCTCACCAGGCTCAGGACCTGCCGAAGTCCTCATTGCCCTCATTGAATTCCATGAGATGTTCCTCCATTCAATTCTCCCACCTGCTGAGGTCCTTCTAAATGGCAGGAGAGTCCTCTGTATCCTTCCCACTTGCAAGCTTGCTGAGAGTGTCCCCTGTCCCATCATCCAGATCAATAATGAAGATGCTGACCCGGTACTGACCCTCTGAGTACATCTCTGGTTACTGCTTCCACTTGGACTTGAGCCACTCATCACAACCCTTTGAACTTGGACATTCAACCAGCTTCTAATTCATCACTACTTAATTGGAAGATCTGCTGTGTTCAATTCCCTTTGCTTGCCCATCCTGTCTGTGACTTCCTCACTTGACTGCTCATCAGCTCATTGTACATGTAGAATTTGAAACAACAAACTGTGTTCCCCAYGCAAAACTGTAAGAACAGTTCTCAGATTCTGTAAGAACAGAATCTCAAGTTCACCTTCTAGATTAATACCAGCCCAGAGACACATCAAAGTCTGACTCAATCACAAGTATTTAAGTATTCTAAGCAAAGGCACAAGGACACACCACTCAGCCCAGAAGGAAGCAGAGGTCTGCTCTAGCAGTCCTGTGTAACACACCACCAGCTGTGGACGTCACCACCTTTTGCTTTGGTGGTCAACATGACTTCTCTCYTGATGGATCCTCCCCCTACTCAGTATTCATCAAGCAACAGCCTTAGTCAGAGCTGCTTTTGGGAGACTGGGAGTACAGAAGACTCCCAGGGAGTACAGAAGACAACTTGCAGCTCTTATGCCCACCAAGTTATCCATCCATCCCATTCATCCATCACATCCATCTCCCAAAGGGGCAAGAGAAGAGAATGTCACTGCTACAGCCAGAATGAGAACCCGGAGCTACTACAAACCCTGTCCATGCACTCCCCTACTCCAGTGCCATTTACTCCACTAATTCCAGTGAAGGGATCTCGAGATTCCTAGAAGAAGATTGTCTCTACCAGCAGTGGAGTAAGTGACCYTTCTCTCTGCAAAAACAGCCTAAAGAGCTCTGTTTCGACAGRATTTCTCAAACTAATACAGAAAGAAATACCTATGTCCTTTCTCTCTTGGTCAGTATTCATTTGGAGCAAAGCCCTTTCAGACCAAAGCAGCCATCATGGCAGTTTTACAGCAAAATGCTCAGAGATGCTGTCTTAAAAAACACCAAGCATCTGCTGGCTTCTCCACTCCCTTCTACATATCCCTACAATCTGGCAAACACACTGATGGATAAAAGATGCTGTAGGAACCTCACAGTAATCTCTCAATGCAGTTGCCTAAATTACATTGCTCTCTTCTGTGTTACTTCAATCTGCCCCATTCCTGCTCCTCCTGATGCCCACATCCCTGGTACACAGTACAAAAGAACTCTGATGAGGCATGACTGTGAGTTAAGTTTTAAAATAGCACTGAATGTTCCTTCAAAAGACACCAATGAAGACAATTATCATGACCTGTATTACAGCAGCATGTTGTCATTCCAATGAAGATTGGCRTTCTGTTATGCTAGGCAACATATAACCTTAAAACAAGAAAAAAAAAAGGCCTGAAGAACTTGAACTTGTAATATAGAACTTGTAAATCTATACGGATACAGCAGACAAAACCAGAAAGTGTCATTTTTATCTCCCATTTTATGAGTGAGCAACTAAGCCCATGGCTAAGATAACTGGAAATCCTTATCAGAAGGAGAAGTCACTGGAATTGTTGCTGTATATCTGTCTAACAATAAATCTTCCTCAATGAGCTAAGATGCAATCTCAGACCTCTAGGGCTGTATCCCCAGTTTGACCAGCTGTCCCCTACCATGCCCCAAAAATTAAGATGCTTTTAATACATACCTCAAACTCCAGATAGTGATCCTTCAGCTTATAGTCATCAACTTCCTTGCCTTTGAGCTTCTTGTCAGGAGGATAGGAGCGGTGCTCGGCAAGCTCAGTAGAGATCTGCTTCAGCTTAGCTTCATGGGATTTCAGCTGTTCATCCTTCAGAAACACATCAGTGATAGAATTTAAAATCTATCACTTAAGTGACAGAATTTAAAATACTCAACAAGCAAAAGAAAATAGAGATCCCCGCACAATATTACCAGGTTGTTCCTTTTTCTTTCTTTCTTTCTTTCTTTCTTTAAATTGATTTTAATTGAATTGCTAAGGCTGAGCGCTGTCCCCAACAGCAGTCTCCAAGGGGTCCAGTCGAAGTATTCAGATTTGCAGAGAAAAGCCTCAGTCGTGGCAGATGCCACGGGGAAGGACAGCCACCCCGTCACCCCTCACCTGGCTGAGGGCAATGGAAGCAGCTTGCTCTGCTGACAACATGACACTTCTGCTCTCATGCGTTTTGTGGTAAATTAATTAAGGCTGTTGTATGCGCTCAGTCCAAGGGCACAATTCAGCTCCCTGTCACAGGTCTCTACTATGAAAAGCRGCTCCTTCCAAGACAGAATGAACATACACACAAAGCCCTTTTCTTTTTCCATTATAGCACTACCAAACGCTCCCTGGTCTGTGATTTCCACTCATTYAGAACAATGCACTACATCCAGAAGAGGAAGTTTGTCCTCTCTCCAGAAGGTATCTTGTTTTGTTAAGCTCCTACCAACTTTTCTCCCACTGTGCAGTTGGAGAGAGCAAGAAGGCAGCTATTGGCAATCTCCTTCATCCATCCCCAAGCCCCTAACTTCCTCCAGCCCATCTGCACAGGACACAGCCACGCTTCCCGCTGCCCGGGAGGTTTCCAGCTCCTGCAGCACGGCCTTCTGGCCACTTCTCAGCTTGGACCTGGAACTCTGCCTGCTTCAGGTAAGCCTGAAATACAGAAACAGTCACGCAGCCCTCACTAACTTAGAGTCAGAAGGGCCGCCAGGTTTTGTAGCGCCCTGCGCAGACCCCAGCTCCAGAGGAGGGGATTCTGGCAGTGCTTGTTGCCCACAGGCCCTGGCCACGCAGCATGCAGGCTCACGGCTGACTCGGGCATATCTCTATTGAGCTGCTAATCTCAGCAGGCACTGAGCCTCTCAACTCACTCACCGAGCTGCAGAAGGAACAGAAAGGCTTCTGCAGCTGAGCCTTAGCTAACCTTATGTTTTATCTCTTCCACAGAGAACTGCAGAGGGAAATATGTGGGATAATTTGCCTCCGCCTCTACATGGTAGGGCTCAAAATGATCTCTATCGGTTGACAAAAATTCCTGTTGCTGTTAGTAACTACTCTGGATCTGCTTGCTCTTTCTATTAGTGTCCAATCTGTCTTTAGCACACTGTGCTAAACCTCCGGTCTCAGTGACATCCCATTGCAACGAGTTCTCCACCTCCTGATGACAGGAGGTCTTTGAGCAGCTAATAATTTGGCCCTTTTGTGCTCCAAGGCACCAAGCCCTTTGGTGTTTTTGTACATGCRTGCACGCCCTCATAAAGAAGCAAAACAAATCTAGCTGAAGCTTCCCAGACCAGCCACCCCGTTATATACTTTTGTCACAACTCTTCACAGTTACCAAGAGGAGACACTGAAGGCAAACTTGGCACAATGATTTTACATAACTTGTCACGTCCCCCATCTCTTCCCCGATCACATTAGTGTTCCCAGCGCATCCTGACATCTGCCTGACCAGGCCCTTTGAAGAAATACTGGGCATCATGATTCAGGCCACAAAATCCTGAACAACAACCAGAGATTTGACAATTCATATTTTGTTGTCTGCCAAATGACAAGAAGCCTGCTGGCAGCTTTTTCACACTGACAGATAGAAGGAGACATGTTTCTGCTTGTCTTTGAATTTATCTGCTTTGAACACTTAACATTCTTCTGCCTTCAGCTAGAACAGCTTATCTTATTCCACTTCTTATGTCTTCCCATCTTGAAGGCATAAACCACAGGGCTATGTTCTATTCTTTTCTCTTTTCAGATTAAATGGAAACAATGACTAGAAAATAATGTGCTAAATGGAATAATCATACAGAACAAGGATGAGTAAAAAGGCTTTTTTCGGTGACTGTGGGTAAATTATTGAAAGCACAAGTTGGACTACAGTATAAAAAAAGGTGAAGAAAAAGAAAAAAAACCTACAGTCTGTATGAACAAAGTGTAAAACCACAATGACAAGACAAGTTAGTATTATCCTGCATGAGACACGCTTTAAACTTCAACCTAGATAAGATGGAAAGTCGGTCACCACGTCATAAGAACAGCTATTGCCACAGAGAGGGAAAGAAACAGGGGCAACATAAAAAGTGCCACCTTTGAGAAATGCAGATTCTGAGATAATGGTTTCCAAGGAGTGTTGCTAAGCTGTGATGATGGGGAGAAGAAGAAAAAAAAAAAAAAAAAGCATTTAAGAAGCCATCCTCCACCAGGGAGACGGCTTTCAAAGCTGCAGGGGTTTATTAGCAAAGCCTAGGATTGGTGCTCTGTACCCTCCTGACACATGTCCAACCTGATTTGAACACCTGGTGGTGGTGCGTTCCTGCTGGTGCAGGAGTAATTGCAGGTGTGCATCACAGCCCCTAAAGCACACACAGCCATGAGAACAACCACCAGGCAGGGCCCGTWTGGAGCAAGCAGAAGTAGGKTTTTTTTTTTTCATGAAAGAGGCAAAGGAGCTGTGAAGCTCTCTCCCATAGGATGCTAAAAAGCGTACATGGTCATATAAGCTGAGACCCAAACAGTTCATGAATACATATATAACAAGAAATCCCTGACATGATAAGAGTCGGAGTCTGGAAAGGTATTAGGAAGAAGCACAAATGATGCTTGCCCTGGACTCATCTCTCTACAAATTCCCTTAGAGCAGAGAATGAGAGTGATCCTTGATCTGACTGACCCAATACTGCGATTCCTACRGGCTCACTGGTGTGACTTTAGAGCAGCTTTGTGGCTGCTCTAAATGAGGTGATGCATCAGCTTAGACCTTGCATCACCTCAATAGTCTGGAAGGCTCAAGCGAACGCACATTTTGTGCAGGCAGTAATAAACGCTCAAATTAAAAAACAAACAAACAAACCCCAAAATCCACAGGTAAGACACTATGAAATGTTGAGATATGGCAATGGGATGAAAATTCTACATTAGTAGAATCAGTATTAGGAACTGTTGGGGATTTTCTTCATAAAAATAAACAATTGCAGTCAAACCTCCTCCCCTGCTTAAAATCTTGTGGGAAACAAGCAAAGAATTATCCTRTTATTAGAGATCTGTGCAGGCCTATTTCCCATAGGAATGCCAATGGCAACAGGAAAAAAAACAATTTTAAGAACCATCTGCTGGCCTCCAGCCAGTCATTAAAATCTCCATGACCTATGCTCAAGATAAACACAGCTCACCTGAGATAGCTTTGTTGTGGTGGCTGGCAGGAGTGGGCGACTGAATTTCTTCTGAGACCCAATTGCAGCTGGAAACGGTGGTGCAGAGAAGACGGCAGCCACACAATTAATCTTGTTGATCCAGGCCTGCATTTCTTCTTGGCTCCTGAGGAAGAAACACATTAAATGTATTAAACATCTGTTGATGTAGCCTCTTCCCTTTCGTTCACTCCCCTTCAATTACAATTTTAAAATAGAGAAAACAAGAGACTGGGCAAGTCTGTAGAGACAGCTGACCTGGTCTCTCTTTGAGATCAATTAATGTCAGGTACCTCATGAATATGGCTCATGAATATGTCCATAGCTCATCCTAACAGGCAGCATACGCTGATCTGCCTTGCTGATTGTGTAGGAAGCTAGTCCTACAGAACCTCCCAAACCCGAGGGACATTTCGGTGTCCTCATTCTGACCCGACATGAGGCACTTATAAGCAAGTTTAAGACTGACACTGTGTCCTCAAGCATCAAGCTACTAAAACTTGCCATATTCTTACGTAGTTAAGCTTTTGTTTTCAGGGCTGGTGCTGTGAGCAGTAGAGCTGGGAGTGGCATCAGACACAAAACCAGAATCTCTCTTGTCCTCATCCTTCCAGAATGGCTACAGCTCCTCCTAAACCTACCCAAGTGACATGTGTCACAAGGCCAACCAGTGCCTTGATTCCAGTGTATGTCCTAAGGCTTCAACTCTATACCCCATCTGTGTCCCCTACTAAATTTCTCAGAGGTTTCAGGGGAATCTCAGTGGAAAAGATGAATTTGTGTAGAAAACTTATGTACTGGTTTTCAATGCCAGAAGCAAAAGGCAGGTCATCTGTTCCATGTGGATACCACAGGCTGAAAAATTTAATCAAATTATTCCTACACTGAATGCTAACTTTGTTTCTGGCCAAAGYGTATCTTCTAAAAAGACATCCAGTTAATACCTGATGATATCAGGAGACAGACAATCCAAGACTGCCTTTGGTAATTTGTTTCAATGATTAATCRCCTTGGATATTAAAAGTTTGTGCCTTGTCTCCAAATTGAATTTCCTACTTCTTCAACTTCCAGCTGCTGCATCTTGTTATGCTTTTCTCAGCTAGATTAAAAAGCCTCTTAAAACCTAATGCTTCTTTCTCATGAACAACTTGTGTGGCCTAACTAAATCACCTCTTAATCTTATTTCTGATCACATAAACAGATTGAAACTCTTAAGCCTCTACCTTAACCTGCCCAAGCAGGTCCTTCAGCAGTGCTTGCTTTCTTCAGCCACTGGCAAAGCCCTCTCAGCCAACTTGGAAGAGGGAACTTACTGAGCTTGGAAGAGCAGGACCCTCCAGTCTGCTGTTTTAAGCTTGAGAACGTTAGGTTTCTTCTCATAGTCCGTTGCCTTGGATGCCAGAGCGTGATGCACACTCACTGCATTCTTCAGATCTTCCTCTGATAAAGCCTTCTCTGGTTTATATTCATCCTGCATGAATTAACAGGGGAAAAGAAAGATATATATATATATTTATGTATATATATAAAAATATATATGTGTATATGTTTTCACATGGCACTTTCCTTAAGGAAAAATGCTGTTCTGTGTGGCCTGTGAGCATTATTGAAGTATATGAATTGGGTGCAACATGATTTGAGCACATGCAGTGCTCACCTACCTTAAAAAATCCYTTTTTTTTACTGTCTTTTCAAGGCAGAGAAGTAGTGGCACTACCTGCTTGCTGGGAACAGGGGTAAATGAGGTGTATTTGTTTAGGTCACAGTCCCTACAGACAACTCAGCTTCCCTTCAGAAAACCTGTATGATGCTCTCCCCTCTCCCCACTTCCCAGCTTCTGGTTCCTGCTGGAGTTGCCAGCTTCCAATGCCTCGTTTTCACTTTTCTCAAACAATTACCTTTGTACCTCCTAAGAGACAGGCCTCGCACACTGGAGGAGCCAACCTATCCCTCTCCATAAAGCAGTTATAGGAACTTCCTTTAAATCTCTCCTTTGCTGTGGCGCTAAGAAAGAAAAACCAGCCCCGCAGTAGCTGTCATCCTGCTGACAGCATGATGGGCGCCACACCATCTCTCAGCTCCTTTGTACAGCTCCTCACATCTGCACCCAGCTGCTGTCTCTATTACAGGGGTAATGAAGGAAGAYGCCTCAGGCTTGTGCTGTGAGAGGGGATTGCCCCTGCTAAGAGCCCAGCACAAAAYGGTCCTGATTTCTGATGCAGAAATAACACCACTCCTATTTACATTTATTTGTAAATAACAAAACAAGGGGTCAGGGTGCTTTGGGCCACAAGCATCAGCCTGGGAATAGTCTCCTGAGCCATAGGAGCAAGGGGAGGTCACAACCRTGGTGCTGTCACCTGCCTGTAAATACCTGGCTGAATACAGGGCAAACTATCGACTTTTGCAAGGAAAAGTTGCTCACTAGCAATGCTGCAACTGTGGAGGCACATTGAGGTTCCTTAAGAAGAAGCTAGACGCAGACTGTAACTGTCTCCATTTCTCTCCTTCAGCGGTATCACAGAAATCAGCTTTGTCTGGTACACCTGACAGGAGAGAAAGCGCGATAGCTGCGAAGTGGAACAGTCAGCCCTGGCAGGTGTCATCACTGCTGATCACTTCCCATGCACACAACAGGTGGAATTTAGGAGACAAAAGAGCACAGCACTTTTGCCAGGACAGCCTGTGCCAGCACAGCCCTTGCTTGAGCACCCACAGAAGTATCCATCCCTAAAGAGAAGGGCTAAAGTGCATGAACCACCTGCGGGGCTTATCTGGTGGCTAAAAGAGCAGAGCTGATGAGCCAGGGCTCAGGTCCCAGAGCAACATGTTAAGGAGGAGTTTGGCGTCTGACAGGAGCACAGGCCACAGCGGGTCGGTGGCAAAGACCAACGAGGATGAATTGAGGAAGCCCTCAGCCTCGTCACCCACAACGTAAGGGGCTTTCAAGGTAAGGGTTTTTTCTGGCATTMTGCTAGCGAGAGATGTCAAATCTTTCCTCTCTCACTGCCAAAGCTCCTGCTGAGACCCAGGAAGCCTTGGAGGGAGCTCCACAGCCTGATGCACACTGGCTACTCTCCATTCCGGATGCTTCCAAAATCTTCTTCAAGGAAGACTCAGGAAGATGACAGCCCACAGACCAAGGCTGAAGGATATCTTGAAGATGGAACAAACAAGTCCCCAGGTCAACTCCCTCTCTTCGTGGTTGACTTATTTGGTAGCAGTTTGGGGATCACCAGCATCACTGTSCAGGGAGACCAGGAAAACACGAAGGTGAGGAAATGAATTTAGGCAAGCCCTAAGAGGAGGCCAGTCRGGCTTTCCTCAAGGTGCTGCCTTGAGGCAGTATCAGCTCTCGCCTTGGTGATCCCAAGCTTTACGTGGAAGAGGAGCCCAACATTCACACCACGCTCTGGTATCTAAACCTGTTCCAGGAGAACTCCCCTTTTGGGCAGTCACAGAAACAGTCCCTGCTAAGGACACCTCCTTACCGACGGACGGAGTTCATGGTAATCCTTGCTAATCCCACTGGATCAGCTATCCGTAATTCACCTTGACAGCTGGGGCTCTGCCAGCTCTTCCACAAGCACTGCTCAGCATACCAGAAATGTCTTCAAAGTAGTTGGCCAACCTCAGAAAACACTGGAGGTGATGTTAGCACGCTGCCAAAATTCCTCTCTAAGGCCTTCAACTCTTTTAATCTGCCAGGGAACGGTAAGGGTGCAACAGCATCCATACCCCACAGGCAGCCAAGAACAGCACATGCTCCGATGTGCTGGTATCCACGTGGAGGAGGAGCTGGAATGAAAGGCAGCTCACTCAATTTAGACCAAGACATGTCTTTCTGGCAACAGAAAGACATGAGAGGCCAGGAAGGAACTGCAGCCTCCACATCAAATGCGGGCTGATCTGAGTGCTGTACACAATGCAGTCACACAATGAATTTTTCTAATAAATTCTCCCCCAAAAAATGACTTCCTCATCTTCTACTGACCCAGAGTCAGCAGATTTCTAAACCCATTTCTRATAAACCAAAAAATTGCATTTGGCTTTTTGACAGCCAATGTACAGTGGGTAGCTACGTGTGATGGCTGCAAAACCCCTTCTTTCAGAAAGACTGAATCACTTTACATCATTCTATCCTCTTTCTTCTTTATTGTTGTTGTTGYTAAATAGAGGAAAAAGATTGAGAAAAGTTATATAAAAAACAAAATACCCGAGAGCCCACAGGATTATAAAGGGCCACATCAAAGAGCTACAGTGTTCCAGATCTCGCAGGAAGGCAGAAATCCAGCACGAAGGCACCGTTTGCCCAGAAACAACTTCTGGTGAGGAAGTAAGGTGAGGTCAAGCCCATGTCCTCCTTTCTGCAAACACACTTCACATCCCACTGCAATCCAGTGAACAGACATACTGTCAAGCTCACACGTTGTGATTTCCTCTTGTTATAAATACAGAGGACAGGAAATTAYCCTTGGCCTGAAGATGTCCAGAGACAGGTCCAACATCCCAAACGTCGCATCTCTCATCTGACATAATACTGTGCAGACATGTTTAGTTGGCTAATTGTGAATATTTCCACTGAGCCCCTCTGGCGGTTTCTGTGCTTACTGATTCAGAAACCATCTCTCCCAAATCACTCATTTAAAAATATAAAAATATGCAGCACAGCAATTAGCTCTGGAATAGTTCCAACAGAACTAAAAAAAAAGAAAATGTGGGCACAGAAGCAGCACTGCCTAGAAGAACTCCCCAGCAAATCTCAAGTCACCATCACTTAGGAACCACTCTCATGTATGGACTTTGACAGTGAAACAGACAGGACAAGACTGGAAAGCAAACCAAATGAGATCAAAATTGAGAGCACTCTGCCCACTGGGGACTTCACAGCTGTGACAAACTGTTTATATTTGAAGAGCATCTTGAGGGAACAGCTGGGGTGCAGATAAACAGAGAGATCAATGATGTAGAGGTTTGTGCACCACGCGGTGAATGACCGGCAGGCAGATGAGAGGAGGGCAGTGGAGGTTGTCTAGGTTGACYTCAGTGAGGCTTCTGACACCACCTCAACATCCTCAAAACCAAGCTGATAAACTATTGGCAGAAGGATTGAAGGCTGGCTTAGTGGCACAGCTTAGAGGGTTGTAGTCAGTGTGCAAGGTCTAGCGGGAGCACTCTAGGCAGTGCTGCATCCCAGGGGTCAACAGCGGATCCCACACCACTCAACATCTTCATTCAGAGGGACCTCAACAGGTGGGACAGATGGGTGGAGGAAAACCTCATGGAATTCAGTGAGGGCAACTGCGTGGTCCTGAGCCTGGTGAGAAATAACCCCACAATCCAGTACAGAGCGGGAAGCAGCATGCTGGAGAGCAGCTTTGCAGAAGTGGCCCTGGGGGTGCGAGTGGACAACAGGTTGGCTGTGACCAGCAASGCTCCCTCGTGGCCAAGAAGGCCAAGAGGCGCCCGGGCCATCCAGGCTGGAGCCAAGGAGATAAAGGGAAGCACAAGAACAACGCTCTGAACACAGACAGCCTTTCTCTCTGGGAGGGTGGCTGAGCAGTGGGAGAGGTTGCCCAGAGAGGCTGCGGAGTCTCCATCCTTGGAGATATTCTGAAGACACCTAGACATGTTYATGGGCAATGTCCTTGAGCATAGGAGTTGGACTAGATGATCTCCAGGGGTGCCTTCCAGCCTCAAACGTTATGTGATTCTGTGATTTTTAAGGGCATATATAGCCTTACATATATGTAACCTTACACACTGATTTACCTCTTCTCTGCTTAAATCACACTTAGTGGATGAAACCTTTGTTACAGCTGCTTCCTCTACACGTGCATATATAATGAGAGAAAAAAAGACAAATAGATGTGTACACATTTGCTCCCTGCCCTAAGTACCAAACAGGAAAGATGGCAAACAGGGGCAAGGAAATCCCCTGCTTATGACCAAGGCTAAAGCTCTGCACTTCTGCAGAGAAGTCAGGCTGCTCTAAAACGCTCTCACATATTCTGAAATTAGGATAATGTTCCATCTCCTACTATACTGCAGAAAGAAAGCACATTTCAGCAGCTTATACCGTAACGAAGCTAGGTCTAGCCATGCATTTTAAAATTCTGGCAACCTCAGCTGCTGCAATTCCATCTCCCTAACAGAAGAAATCTTATGTCAGGGTTGAAGTGAAGCCTTGATGGACCTTCTGGAGCTGGCAGCASATCCAGGAACGTTTCCCTGCAACAGTTTAAGGCCTGGGAGCTGAGCAGGGGCCAGAGACACCCATGGGAGCAGCTGCCCCCTCAACCTGAGAAAAAGTCGCTTTGCACCAGGACCCTCCATCAACTTCCTCCAGCATCAAAACTAAAATCTCCTTTTTGCACCCCTCGAGTACAAGTGGCTCCAGGACCAAGTAGGATAGTGAAGTGTTTGCAGAGCCACGATGGAATTCAAGTGCTGTGACAACTCAAAGCACACAAATAACAAATGAGTAAGAACAAGAAATCCAGCAATGCATTTTGTTATGCAAAGATGCAGTCAGATGTGAAATTAGTCTCTTGCTTTCCAAAGGAGGAAGGGGGAGAGTGGGAAGAACAACCTTCTGTAGGAAATTTCTGTGCTATATCAGCATCTGTATATTTTGTCAAACAGAAATTGTTTATATATAATATTTCAGTGATAATCATAACAGTATTTAATTAAGATTCTAAAATAGACAGCTTCTCCATCTCTACTTGAAAGCTTATTAACTACTCCTATGGTATCCATTAAAAAAATAATTCATGCATTATGGACAAGGAACCTTTCTAACTCATCTTAAGGAAGGCTGTTTCAGGTGAACACTACATATAACTTGTTTCAGAAATCAAAGTATCTGACTCCAATTTCCTGAGGAAAGAACACACACAAACCTCCCATGCAGGCTACCTTAGTAAAACTGGTATTTGCTGCCCATAGGAAGACCAGAAGGAAGACTCAGCTGGGGGGTGTTCAGACTTGGCTCTAGTCTTTCTAATGTCGCATTCGACTTCTGACCCAAATTTCCCCTCCTCTCTGCAGTTTCTCTTGTCTGTTCCAGTATTTCAGCACTTTCAAACAGGGGTGCCTCCACAGCATCCACCTTGTAACACAAGAAGAATTTGATCCAGACCATCCTCCTCCTTCTCAGAGATCTTTCCACTGCAGCTAGGCTGGCTCCAGGGAAATAAAATTTCAGAAAATCACAGCAGAGGAGGAGGGAACAGCACTATGATTTTTTTTCTGCCTGACAGTTCCAAAATGCACCCCTCAAAAAGGCTTTCAATGCTGTGGACTTCTGCAAGAGAGGGCAGTCTGGACAAGCACTGCCTATTTCATTAATAATTTACTTATGCTTGCTATGGGGCCAGGGGGAGGCAAAAAGGCTTTTCAATCTACTTTGCTACTATCATTTATTTGATTTTGTTATTTCTTGCTCATATACTGCTTTTTATTTTGCAAGAGAATAGTTAAAATAACAGATATAACAGATATAAACTGTTAATGGAAAGACATAAACTGTCAATGGAAGATATAAACTGTCAATGGAAAGACTAGAAGATTACATTGATGTTTTCTTAGACTTTTTGATGGTGGGGAGCAAAATCTTTTAGGCACGATAATGCTTCATCTTGCTTYGGGAATAAAGCATTTTCCAAACGTCTGTGGAGCAGAAGCTGCAGATTCCTAGCAGGACCAAGTGGCTGTTCAACTCCTTTGCAGCTGCTCTTGCAGTCATTGTGGAGAAGCACACTGTGAAAAGAGGAGTGAGGAGGACGGCCTCACAGCAGGGGCAGTCATGCTGATGAGCTGCCGTGTTAAAAGCAGCCCRAAGAAATGTGTGCAAGACACAAAGACATGATGCTATCTTTGCTGGTGAGGCTGGCTGTTTTATGAGTCATGAGTGGCAAGTGAAATAGATGGGGAGCACGTGAGATGGGGACAACAGGATTGAACTTGACAGCATGAAATGGGGAGGGAATCGCTGCCAGGTTTCATGCCTGAAGGAGTGTGTAAACAGCAGTGCCGAGAGCTATGCTGTGTACTGGAGGGAAAGAAACCTGGAGGTGAGCTGTGAGAGTAGAGGATACCTGCTGCTTTATCCCTCTTTAATTAGTTTCCAAAAGAGAGTGATTTCTCTTACCTTCTGCAAGTACAAGACTGTTCCCTTCAGCACAGCATAAAAGGTTTTCCAGCCTCGCTTCCCCCTGGGAGCTGCAAAGAAAACAAATGAAAACCCATTTAACACAGATCCATTTTTACACTTTGTCTAGGCAACAGGAGAGCTACATTAGCCCTACGTTAAAGCGCCTTTGTACTCTCCTTCTTCCCAGAGGACAATGCAGGCCAGCACAGCGCTGGCACAAACCCGCTGTGAGGGAGRGCACGGGAGCCGCCGGCTGACAGATCCGCACTGGATCAGAAGGGAGCAGGAGCAATGCTCCTATTCCACAACGCTCCATGGAGAGAAAAGGCCAGAGGGATGTGCTCTGTGCCAGCCCTGCCCCTGCGCTGCAGGCTCTGATCTCAGAGGTCTGAGCAGGGCAAAACCCTCCTGCCTCTGCCTGCACGCAGAAGATGCTGTTCAGATGCAGCACAAGGTGCCCAGGGTGAAAGGCTGCACAGAAGGGTCCTCCCTCCTGCAGCCACTGCACACAACGGGAGAGAGCCCATGGATGCACTGGAGAGGGGAGAAAAAGGCAGGGGGAAACAAAGCCCCGTGGGAAAATAGAGAGCCGCTTAGAGGTGGTGCTGGAGGAGCATAACAGAGAAAACACCTCCAGCTCACAGCTATGGAGAAGAAACGAAAAATAGGAGATCTCAGGTTGAAGCTCCAACTAGAAGTGGGTTTAGCACAGCCAAAGCTCTTCACTCATGAAGGCATCCCATCCTCAGGCATGGACACCAAATGATGGTGAGGAGGAACCAGGTTAGTCCCTAGCTCCAAAGGTTAATCATTCGCTCCCCACCCCATGGGCATTATTTCTTATTAGCATTTGTCTGGTTCAGCTTCCAGCCATTGTCCCTTAAACTTTTCTCCTCCAGACTTACCAGTGCTTTAACCCTCAGTACCCCTTTTTCTGAAAATACATTTACACGGTGCAATCCTATCACCTCATTTGCAATCCTACAGAAGCGAAACTCTACCCTGCAGCAACACCATTAGAAAATGAAATATGAAAAGCACTATCTTTTAAAATTAGTTTCATTTTATTTGGAGCTTGAAAGTCAGAATGTAAATTTTTGATGCACAGCATGACAATGAGATCAGGCCTCTAACATACACTGGAGCTTCTGAAAGCATAGCCTACTTACCTTGCACATAAAATGATTATCTCACAAGGRCCAAGGGCGCTACATAATGAGTCACTGTGCTCATTTGTAATTGAAGAAATAAGTTAACAAAGGCAACCATACACCTTTTACTTATTAGGGTTAAACAAACAAAGTTTATTAAAGATGAAACTATTCAGAGCATCCAGTYGTCAGAAAGAATGTTGTTTCAGCCTCCAGCTTGAAAACATCAGCCTTCTAAAATATACTAGCAGCAGCAGAACATCTGAAAAGCTTATTCCAGCTAAAGGGGGTTGCACTTACTCAAAATCCATTACAAAGTCAGATTTGGCCTTTTGGATTCAGCCCAGAGACTGTAATATGAATGATGACTGATTATGAATGATTAACCATGATCAGGGGAAAAAAGCAGATGCTCTAAGTAGCCTCTGCGGTTTCTAAGAACACAACAGAAAACAAACAAATGAAAATACCCCAACAACAAAACACAGAGGGGTAAGACCTACCAAAGGCCTTTGATAATTAGTGTACCATAGCTGAAGCAGGATGAGAAGGAAAAAGGATAATTAAAGTAAACGAGACAGGTTTATTACAAAGCAAGGGCAGGCAGGAACTACAGTGTAATTCTGCCTGCTATGAAAAACTGCTGAAATTCCCTAGTATGTGAGATTCCAATGMTGGTAAAGGAGGGAAGGAAACAGTTACAGGATTTTCCAAGCCAACATAAGAAACACTCTTTCTTCGAAGACAAGAAAGAGGGGGAGAGGGCAGATTAGAAACAGTTTTGGTTTTSATCCAGTGTCACATAAGGAAAAGACAAATTACCTGACTACTACAGAACAGTTACSGTAATCCACTTGAAAATGTTTTCACTTCTGTAAACAAGGAACTTCATTTTCTTTTCCCATAGAAGATTCACATTACTTTTCTACAGTTACTCACCATAAAAATGCATTTCAGCTGCTGCAACACTCAGTAAACCATGACAGTGATAGTGTGATAATCCCACTGCTGTATTGTTTGTAATTGCTGCCATCTCCCCTAATGAATCAGCACTATCTGCCCTGAGAAGCACACAGCTTCATCGTGTGGGGCACAGTGCATAGAMGACAGGGAAATGAGGTTTCAAGAGTGAAAGATACTCACTTTTCTTTCCATCCATATCTGCATGGATTTTTCGAGCCAGGAATCCTGTTTTATACACAGCAGCGTTGGGGTCGTGAGGGATGTCTAAGAATGGATTATTGGAGTTGCCAATGCGACCAACAGCTTTTGTCTGGTTCCCGTTATCCTTTTCATCAGTACCATCTGAGTGAGATTTCTTTTTCTCTTCTTCGTCCCTAAAAAAAGTGATAAAAACAAGTAAAGTCAAACAAATGAGGAACTGTTCAGCAAGGTTACATATTGTTAATTCTTGCACACTACTTGAAAGTTTAAAGTTGCTTTAAAGTTGACCCTATTTAGAAAGGAATCAAGACAGGTTACAGCAACACTTCTGCTCACCTACTTCAGCAGCACAGGTCACGGGAGCTGAATTTTCACAAAAGCCCAAGTTTGTTTTTTACATTCCAGAAAGGCAGTCTTGACAGAGCAATGTGTCCTGCAGTTTCAAATACTTTTACATCCCGTTAAGTAAGCACTACAATAGGGACTACTTGCCTGCTGGGCTTTTCTGAAAAAATCTCCCATTTCTTTATGAGTTCTCATATAGATGAAAAGAATTAGATTACTACAGATCACTGCGGCTTTCCCATTAACCTAGTATACGAAACACAGACTCTACCTCCTTTTCTTTATTTTCCTCCACAGATCGGCATAAAAGTAGCAATTTAGAAATAAAAACTACAGCTGGTGAATTACGTTATCTGTATTTTAGAAACAAAATGTTGCCCCAAATGTTACTTATTAATGCAACGTGTTCAGCGCGGCTCTTGGGGACAACAATGCRAGCCCTTTCAGTCAGTCACAGGCACTGCCTGTCTAATGAACACCTTCCTTATTGCCACAGCCAAAGGCAAGAAGCGGGAGGCAGCCAGGAAAGTAAACACCCTTGGGAAGGGGAACCTTTGTTGTGAGAGCAGGACGGCAGGAACCACAGAGTATCTGGTTGAAGTAGTTGGTGCATCTCCAAGTCATGGTTGTAGCTCCCCCTCAAGGCAACCGAGTGTGTATCTGGGTGGATGGGAAAAATGTCCACTTTTGGGAATGCCCACCTGAGGTAATGTCYGCACAGAACTGTGAGACAGGCAGGCAATCTGCAGCATCCCAGTCTTTGCTGAAAAGGTCATCAGGGCATCACTTACTCTGGGGAGGAAGGACAGTAACAGACTGCTGTGACAGGAAAGAGAAGGAAACCAAGCCCAGCTTAGAGGCACCATCCTTCTTTTGGAGAGTAAGACTTTTCAGCAGCAGGGATATGGAATGCTATAAATGGACATTTGGTCTCAGAGCTAAGGAAAAGTGACAGACATTTTATTCAGTTGTAGAGATGAAGTGACAGCTCTTTTTGGCTTGGCAGGGTACCATACCATCATGGAGTTCTCTGGCAAGGTCTCCTGATGAAGAGGAACAAATCTCTCAGCTGAAGCCTGACTCCTGCACAGAAGACTGGTCTTTGCATCCTTGAGCCTACTGACATATGTTTTCCCACTTTTCAATGGAGATTATCTGCAATATTCTTGTTGCTGCTCAAAACAATAAGGATTGTGCATACATTGGTTGAAGCTCTCCACCATCTAAAAAGTACTGGAATTTCTGACAAATTTAAACTGTCCCCCTCCTTTTCTGTGTCTATTTCTCCAGTTTGACAGTGGTAACMCGGGTGAAATCTGAATCACTCTGTGACTTATTTTTAAATAAGTGACCATCCCAGAAGCAAACCCTCCGTAATTCTGTTTGTAACGTATGGTGCTTAATCCAGACGAAAATCTCTCACAGGGCACAAGTACTCAGGCTGGTGTATAATTCAGAAGATCCCTGTGAATTCTGGGATCTCAGCCAAGGCCACAGCGGGTTTCTCCTTGTCAGCAGAGAGCTAATGAAGCAAAAGGGTTAGCATCTTTTGGAAGCAGCTACCTCCTTTGGCAGCCATGGGGCACATTATCCTTTACTGACCAGCTCTCTGGAGAATACACCAAATATTTTCACTTGCCCTTGGTTGAGGAAGACAGCTGAGAGATCACCTAGGTACACCTGACAGCCACAGATCCATCCAAGGGCCATGATGGGATGTGCCCAAGAGCGCTCTGACAGCTGGCAGATGTTTTTGCTAAGACACTGCCCATCATCTCTGGAAGCCGTGGAGGACAGCGGAGGTACCTGGGAAGAATGCCAAAGTCATGCYAGTCTTCACAAAGGGCAACAAGGAGGACACAGGGAATTACTGGCCAGCCAGCCTCAACTCCGCCCCTGGAAAGGTGATGGGCTATCCGAGATGTTGTCTCCAAGAGTGTGGAGGACAAGAAGGTGAACAGCAGTAGCCAGCATGGATCCCCAAGGGAATATCCTATTTAATCAACCCAAGATCCTTCTGTGATGAAATGACTGGCTGTACAGATGAGGGGAGAGCAGCAGACGTCGTCTCCCTCAACTCCAGCAAGGCTTTTCTCACAACATCCCCATAGCCAAGCTCCAGAAGTGTGGTTAGACGAGAGGACAGCGAGGTGGAGTGAAAACTGGCCGAGTGTGTTTCGAAGTGTTGTGATCACTGGTCCAAAGTCTAGCTGGAGGCCTGTAGCTAGYAGAGTGCTCCAGGGGTCCGYACTGGGTCCAATCTGGTTCCATGTATTCACCACTGACAAGGATGAAGGGACAGAGAACACTGGCAGGTTTGCTGAGCATACACGACTGGGAGAAGTGGCTGATACCTCTGAGGGCTGTGTTGCCATCGGTAGGTTCCTCTCTGCCCATCTCTCCGTCCTACCCTGCCATGGGCAGAGAGGAACCTCGTGGGGGTTCCTCAACAAAGGGGAGCAGCACCTAAGGAGGAATAACCCCACACACCAGGACAGGCTGGGGGCTGACCTGCTGGGGAGCAACTCTGAATGAGGATYTGGGAGTCAGGTCCCACCCTGACCTTCATTCATAGAGGAAACAGAGCCAAGGGCTCCAAGGATCCACTTCTTCTAGTGCTCCMTTTCCCCATTTCCATTTTCTGGTGCTCCATTTTGCTTCAGAGGTCAAGAATAAGAAGAAAGCAGTAGGACTCTTATCAGGTTCAAAGTAGCAGCACCATTTAGGTAACAGTTTTCACTTGTCTACCCTCAGTTGGACAAATAGGGCTGGCCAGAAAAGGAGTCTACTGGGATATCTACTGGAGATTGATCAAAGCAAAGCGACTTACATGCACAGAGAAAAGTGGAGGAGGACTAGTTAAGAGAGATGTGCACTTGCAGGACTGTCCAGAACACAAGGTTTTAGAAGAGTGACCCAAAGCTGGATAAACTTTCTTTCAAGAGTTCTCGAAATTAATCAATCCTCAACTTTTTTTCACCTTTCTCAGAACACAGCTGCAAGAAAGAAGAGCTACAAAACATTCAGTGGGCCTGTGAAAACATACACAAGAGTGATACTGATCTTTTTGAAACCCTTAGCTGTGGGAATAGAAACTGCTCCCACTTCCTCAGATGGGTCTGAGAGTTTATTCATGGCCAGCAATGTACCTAGTGCGATGGACTCTAGTGAGGCTGGAAGGCGGTTASTGGTTCCATCTGTGCAGGCTTATTCAGTGTCATGGATTTGGTGCCACACGGCCAATGCCCAAGCTCTTGTCAGGGCAGGCTCCACRCCCAGGTTTGAGCACTCACAGCATGATCCTTGTGTCTTTGGGGAGGATTTGTTTTTATTCAAGAAAAACTCCACTGTGTCCTTTCATAACAAAAATATCTCTGTACTGCTCTAAGATCTGACTTTAGGCTCCTTCTTGGAAAACTATGAGCTCACTAAGCTGGAGAGATAGGGTCAATCCTTTCACTTTTAAAAATCTGCTGCTTCTCTGCATTTGTTCAAATAGAAACTCACGTCACATGACAAAAGATTGAGTTTATAAATTAAAAATGTGACATATAACCATAGAAATCTGTGACATATAACCATAGAAACTGCTAATATTTGTATCAGGAACAAGTGGATAGAAGTTCTCCATGACGTCTTTCTTAAAATGAGAAAAGAAGACAGCCAGATAATTAACAGAAGACTGTTGTAAAATCAATTCTTAATTTGCAAACTTAAGCTCCTGGAACTTGAGATAATAAGATRTAATTATCATGAGGAGAGATCTTTGGATGTGACCTAGAAAAAGGGGGTTTCAGCACAGAGGTCACTATAACCACGCAAGTCTCAACATATAAAGGTGCCACAGGATACACAAAAGATTCAGTTTGGCAGGTCCCTTCTTCTATGAACTTTGTTATCTCCATCATCAACAACAGCAACATAAAAGAGATAATGCGGCCATATCTAAGCTTCTGTAGAAAGAAAGCTTTGTAATGTAGTGGCCAAAAACTTTATGGTTTTCCTGAAAATCACACCATTCTGCTTGGAGAAAGCTTTCACAAGGCTAATGGCTTAAAAGCAGCCACGTGTCTGCAGTCTTGTAAGCTACACTTCATGGTTTCAAATGTGAATACTAGATCACCAGTTAGCCTATTTCAAGGTGATGATATTTTGTATTCTCATCAACTGTAAAGGGAAGTAGATATAACACTACAGGCMATGGAGAACAACAATATTCGCCACAGCATTTCCATGCAGACATCACAGAAACAAAGCACACTTAACCCTGGCACCCTTGAAATCAACCTCAACTTTCTTCTTCACCTTAAAGTGACAATGACTGACAAAAAAACCTTCATTGAAAGCAATTCCACTGCTAGTCAAGGCAAACTTAAAGCATTTTTGTCAGAAACCTCTCTATAATGTTTAGCTAAAATCTCCATTGTTTCAAACACTAGCATGTCCAAATGGACATGGTAGAACATTTCATCTCCATCTTCCCTGCAAAAGCTTTTTACACACTGAAAAAATACACTCAGGTGCCCCTAATCAGTGTTTTCCTTTTCTGACTAAAGAAACTCAATTCCATTGACCTCTTCTTACAGTTCACTTTAGTGAAGTCCTTTACGGAAGCTTAAGAACCATGAGGTTCTTAAGAACATAAAAATTATTGAGACTAACTACACTTCTAAAAACGTTGCAAGGAAGTGGGCAGGGGGCATAACCAAGCTTACATTTACCCGTTGTCTATACCCTCCAGGTCAGATGTGTTTCAAAAGTCACAATATATGATTCACTTTTACCTTTGGTACAGCTTGGATGCAGAACTACTGCAGCAGAACTGTAATGCAGTTTTTCTCTTACAAAGCTGTAGTCAAATTTCCATGTTCATAAAGGATAAATTAATATTCCTCCCATTAAATGCCTCTGGAAATATATTGGAAGCACATGTGCTGATTAAGGTGGCACTTCTTTTGAAGGCAGATCTAAAGTTGGAACCAATGGCTGCCTCTCTTTTCAGTGGACTTAGGACCAGACCGTAATTCTCCTAGAAATGGATAGCAGACCTTTTAGGAGAATGACATGTCACTTACAATAGGTRAGAGAAGCATCATATAGCAGACTTCCCCATCTCATTCATCACCATCAGCTTCCTCTGCCTAAGGACTTATTGACAGACACTAATCCATCAAACAATGCATTTCAGAAGCTCTTCAACTGTTGCAAGGCAGGTAAGAAGAAGTTTAAGATTGTCAACAACATTTGGGCTGGAGGACTTGCATCCCATCACGACACCAGCATCGTGAGGGAGCTCATGCTACACTTTGCAACACCCTTTCCAACCTTGCTTTACCTCCCATTTCTTCCCCTGCCACTTCCATTGGTGGAAGCAAAGGGACACTCTTTGGAAAGTGKGGAGAGTATCTTCCTCAGTCTCATGAAGGCAGAACTAACCACATCCCTTCCTCATCCACCCTTTTCTGCAGATYGTAACAATAACTTGCTTTTTCCTTCCAGTCTGAGGAGCCCCAAGGTTGTTTGCCATGATTATCCTGCACCTGCCATGAGGCTCTGCAAAGGTGAGTAAAGAGACAGGTATCTGTCCTCCCTCTCTCTGCCAGCATTCCCTGCCTAAAAGCAACACCACTTCAACTACATCTGGAATGAGCCTTTTTTCTCAGCACGGACAGTGACTCTCACACAGGTTGCAGYTGTCATTTTTGAGTTTCAGATTTGAAGGGAAAATTGGCCATTGGAGCATTCAACAGAGGTGAGYTGGCTCTGCACTTCCGCTCTCTTATTTAGAGCGGACTCTTATTTCCACTATCTTCCAGACTGCTTTCATTTTTTTTTTTCCCAAACAAGTCATTACCAAGGGATGTGGACTGGGCTGTGCCTGTGCCAAAGGAGCTATTATCTATAGAGCAGCAAGCTTATCTCATAAATCACCTTGACTGAAACTCACAGAAGCAAAGCCAGKACCGAGCCAGTTCCCACCTGGAGGCTGCCCAAGTGGATTAGACACAGTGTGCTCTCCTGCCAAGAGCTGGAGGAAACCTGTGACATCAGGAAGGTCACATAACAGATTCTGCCGGCTATAAAGCAGCCGAGCTTACAAACAGCTCTGGTGTTGAGACATGTAGGATTCACACAACATATTCTAGGGCCAGGATGCTCTTTGGGAGCACTTGTCTCCTGCCCTTTTCCATGTAATCAAAGATGGCGTTTCTCCAGTACCAGCCCATCTTCCTCACTACGCTGACATTATTTAACACTCTTTACACATCCAAACAGGGAATGGGCCAATAGGAATCAGCAGCCCTTATGAGAAAGCTTACCTGCCCTCRTAAGAAATCCGGCTGAAGACAAAGAATTTCTAAAAAGGAAATTCAGGAGCCATAGGAGTAGGAAGACCTAAGGCAGTTGATAGTTTGAAACATGCAGGAGTCTGCATTCCAAGCAATGCCGTTCTCCAGAAGATGGGGGTTCAGGTGTGTGAATACACACAGCAAACACCTGAGTTGTAAGACATCATTACACTCCCTTGCACCCAAATCCACCGATTTGCAATACGCAAAATCTAGGGGAAACCCTTCTCYTCTCTGCTGGCATAGCTGGGTCACATAAAACCTAAGCACACAGACATGTCAATTTAACATGATGGGAAACTAAAGCTCTTGCTTGTCTGCAGTGTTTCAGTACTTGACAAGTGTCAGCCTGTTGAAAGCAGGTAATGGTGGGGGTAGATGAGACAATGACCAATTTATCATCTTTCATATTAGGTTGTTGTCAAGTTATCCATAGTTAATCAGGAGACAATACAGGACAATAAACCAACAGCAGGAAACTCAATCCAAGACTTGTGTTTCTATTCAGTGGTTCTGACACAATGTGCTGAACGATGAAGGGAGAAGTCAACGTCTGTTTTATTTATGCAGCCATAGAACAAAAGAGGATTTAATTTCTCTCTTTTCAGGCTGAAGTTTCCTTCTAAATGAAATGTCCTCTTTCCTTACAAATGCATTTGGCTCCTATCATTACCAACTCCCCTTGCTAGGGAAACAGATGAGGCAGTATTGCCAGGCCATTCATTAGCAGAAAGAAAACTCATTACATCCACTGGGCATCTTCTGCACAATTTGGAGTCCACACAGACAGTGACACAGAAAGTATAAACAAATTACCACACAAGTACTATTTTTAAACTCTTAAATTCTACACAATATACTTACACTGCCCATTCAAGCTTCTCATTCTTGATCGAATTGTAGAGGGCCTACAAAAGAAAGAAAGGAAATGGGATTATATTATTTTACTCCTGCTACAGATACATTAACATGCTAATGAAAACTACCCAAATAACACTAGCAAGCCAGTTTTCTCTGATCAAGGAGCTACCATATCTGCTTATGACAACACAAAAGTCTTGAGCCTGAGGCAGAAATATTATCTAAGGAAATATGTATTAGAACATAGGGTKTCAGACAGCAGTTATTTTCTGGAGCAGATTTCATTTTTAAAGCGAGGCAACAAGTTTGCAAAATACAGGAATCTGCAAAAATAAAGCCCCGCATGCAACTTAAGACCAGATTCCATCTCTGTTAGTTAGATGGAAAGTCAGTGAGATTTTGTTGCTGACTTTAACAAGGATCAAGATTTCACCTACAAAACCGTATCAGGATGTCTGACCAAAGCCCCTGAGCTTCAAAGACACCTGAGAGCATCCCCCAGCTACATACCCAGGCACAGACACATACCTTCTCTAAGTGTAAAACAGAAAATGGACTGTAAGAAGCTTGCAGTTTTGATGATTAAAGTCTTGGACTAACATAGGTACTCTCTCAAATCAAAAGACAGAAGCTAGTCAGTTTGGCATCAAAGGTCTCTGATCTACTTTTGATACCAACCTCCAGTGAAAGGGTCCAGTTCTGCAGACATCAAACACTTGGGATGGATTTCTTTTTTGAGTGAGAGCAGGTAAATCATTTGGATAAGTATGTCTGATCTCATCCCTCCTGTAGCTGATACACAGAATGGATAAAAGCCTGCAATATCACTAAAAGCTAATGAGGGTCTTCGCATAGGCCACTCGAGTCAAGTGAAGTATTTCGGTATGGAACGTCCCTGATTCTAGTGCTGAAAATCCACATTTGTAATTTACCTTATATACATGGCTCAATTTACTCCCTCCAGCACATAACTCCTACACAGCCTCAAAATATGTTAATGTGTAGAACTGTTGATGCACATGATTACCAAAAAGTAGCACATCAAGTATGAGCAAGCCTGCAAATCACATACTATAATGGCTATGGCACGCTCAACAGAAGCATCAGCATTTAAACAGCCTTAACTCTGACCCAAAATAAAAACAGGAAGACTCAAGGAACCTAAGCTGTGCTTGTATGTCACCAAACTTGCAATAGGAATCCCACAAGCATATGCACTGTTCGTCCCATGCTCCATCAGCTCCTTTCCAACCATGCATGGTCCATCTGAAGGTTCCTATTTTTCAGCCCTGTGAAAATGTGGCTCTTGACACTCATGTCAAATACACTGGTACAACTCACTTCAAAGGAAGAGAACTGATAAGACCACCAGGAGGAATCATCCCACATCCTATTTATATTGAGAGATATAGCACGGAGAGGTCCTCACTGCCAACACAGCTTTGCTGTGCTGTGCACAGCAGTGTGAAGAAATATTTCCAACTCCGAGGGGCTCACAGTCTATTTCTATTTACTCTGTGAGCTCCAAATTTGTACAAGGAGGTCAGATCCAACGGCAAACAATCAGACAAAGGTAATGGAAAGGGCACTGCTGGCAATCCATAGGCAATTTTCCTAATTTTAAGACGAGAGCTAACAAGAGATTTTAAGAAAACCTAGTAGGAGGAATGCAGAACAAAAGRATATCACTGCTCCTCCTGTGCACCCAGCAATTCTGCAGAATTAGACCCTCCTCCATCCTTTTACACAAAACCATGATGACACTGATTCCGCCAGGTTGACCAATATTTTCCATTAGGAAGCATTGTGTTGCTAACGATCTGGTCAMAATTCTCCACTTATTCTTTCACTCAGGCATTTTTTTCTTTCATATTATTATCAAAACATTATTTGTATCTTGAGTCGGAAGACTATTTCSAAAAATAAGGCAAAGAGCCCTACGTGTGGTTATGTTTTACTCTGGTTGTTGGCTGGAGGAGCTTTCAAAACTTCTCAAGAGCCTGGCCTGGGGGTGCAGAAATGCCTTTTTGCTGTTATCTAGCCCATATGCCTGCAAGAGATTTCTGATAATGAACACCAGCCCTGTGCAGGGCTGCTTTTTATGGGCTCTGCTGCTAAGGAAATCTCTAAGGATCGCTGCAGCGGAAGAGTGCCTATTCCTGGTGTGGGAGACACGAAAGGAGAACTCCAGATTGGCGAGGGAACAAATGCCCCAAGCTTTTGCCTTGTGGAAAGTGACATGTGTTGGTCCCCTTCACRATTTCCCTTAATGAGCCAGACTCCATAGTCCTCTTTAAAGAAGTAACAGACACCAGCTCCRTCATATGTCGCGCATCTGACCGAGGACACGGCGTCTGCCACGGGGCGCCGAGCACAAGTGGCTCTGCAGCACAGGGCAAGTCGCAAGCAACATTTGGGAGAAACTCCAGCACGGAGCACGTTCACTGGGAGAGCAGCTACCAAACAGGAGGAAAGCTGAGTGCTGAGGAAGAGGTGGGAAGGGAATGCAATGCTCTTGTTGGTGGCAGAAGCAGAAGGGGCAGGTACCCCCGCATGGGACACTTTGCACTGTCCCACAGTCCTTCTCCAAAGCAATGGGCCCATTTTGCACCTTAACATCCTTCCCACAACCTGCAGGCTCTCTCAGTAGCTGGAAAATTTAAAAAAAAAAAAAAAATTCTTCCCATATTGCGAAACTGGAGGCATAGACGTACATCCCAGCTCCTGCTCCATCATTTCATGGCTTCTTCCCAAGACGCTAATTCAGACAGCATCTCTTTTCAATAGGCATCTCTCCAGAGCACGATTAAATCAAGCAAACCTGAAGAAAGGCACTGAACTGCTCCACTAAATTGGAACGAAGCCGATCAGACACCACGGTGGAGACATGACTTTTACCAGTGCTTTGCTAGTTCCAAGCATGGGTTTTATTTACTTGTATTTTCTCTCTGGGGAGAGAACAGAAACCCCATGGCTCTGATCTGAAGCATATTTGTAGTCTCACCAAGGTGAAAAAAAAAAAGAAAAAACAACCACAAGTTCYTACCTTTTCACCTAAGAAAGTGATTGCAAAACTACTGTCCCCGGCCAGACCACAGAGCTGGGATCTCRACCACAGCAGGGAATGGCAAAACTCATCTCACCTCCCATGCAGGACCAATAGCACTTCAAAAGCAGAGAGAACTTCTRCCTTGTCCACCCTTCAAGGCACTCTTCCTAAAAAAAAAAATCTTACTTTACCTACACTGGTGCTTTCTCCAGCTTTGATTTGTCCCTGAGCAGCCTGCACTGTTAGAAATACAAGTGAAATTTGTCTGTATTCAGTTACTGATTGGGTAGCTTTCTTTTTTTCTTAATTGGAAGAAAGTCCATAAGAAAGTTGCTGAGTGCTGAATTCCATCCCCAATCTTTAACTGTCCAGGCGAATTTTATCTTYGGTAAGCAGGTGGGACATCTTTTAAAAATCGAGATTTCCACAAGCTTTCACCAGTTACTAATTTTATTCCAACTGGGAATTAAAAAAAAAAAGAAAAAAAAGGGAGCAAAACTACAGAAAGTGCTTCCGAAAGCTCCAGCCTATTTGCAAAGCTGCCTGTTGTGTTTGAGTGCATTATGCCCCCATACAATGAAACTCCAGAACGCATCACCAAAGGAAAAAGGGGGAAAAGTCCCTCACCACCCTGACTTCCCTCAAAACCTCCCTCCATGCAGGAACAACCGGGGCYATTTAAACAGGTTGCTCTCAGCACCTGCCGGCTGCTGACTACGCTCTGAGTCAGCCTCCGAATGCAGAAGCAGCAAAAAGAAAGGCACCACCAGATGTGAATACCRAAATGAAGACTAGAAATTATTCAGTAGCAAGAGGCACCTATGCAAGTGTTAAGAAGGCTGAGGCCTCACCAAGCTGCAGAGCTCCTGGGGGCAGCATGCAAGATATTTCTTCAAAAGGTGATGCAAGAGGTCCTGSGGAGGCATTACTGACTGTCTAGGGCTGGTGGTCACTGTTGCACTCTGTTCCTCACCTAGAAGCTTGCCGTGGGAAAAAGAAATACACAGCAGGCTGTGTATAGGAGCATGTGGGAGAGGAATCCAGGAAGATCTGCCGTGACCAGGTAGAGAAGTAATAGCAAGCTGCAGTCTGGAGGGCTGGCAAGCATTCCCCAGGCCGGCAAGGATCACCATCCCTGATCCCAGTTTCCTGATCCCTGATCTCCCACTTTCGCCACCTCCTCAGGAGTTATTGCTGGGGGAGCCKCAGTCTCATCCCAACAAGACAGCAGTCCCCGTGGAAGGCAGAAGCGGGAAGCGGGAAGGTGCCTGCGGAAGGTGCCAGGCCAGGATGCAGCCGTGCTCGTGCCCTGGGCCAGGCTCCGCCGCAGCCGCTGACCAAAGCAGATGTGCCCGAGGACACATCCCATCCCGCACGGCCTCGCTGGACACAGGAGCCACTGGTACACGGAGTGGCTCCCTCCACACTGCGTCAGAGGGACACGGATGCAGGAAAATCCTTCAGTAAATGCAGGCTAGGGATGCGGCGGGCAGGAGGCCCCGCGGGCGCAGGCCCGTGGCCCTGGCTGCTCGCTGGGCTCAGCAGTGCAGGGCAAGCACCGATCCAGGCCACCAGCTCCTGCGAGGCTCTGTGTGGGGCCGGGCTGGTGCCTGGGCTGCTCCCCCCTGCACATCAGGTCTGCCCCACGACCTGCCGTGTGCGCGCACAGCTACATGGCCTCACCACCTGCCCTCCAACAAATACTCTGCTCCTGAGGGTTTATTTCCTCTCCTCGAGCACAGATCTGCAACCCCAGGTGAGCCCCATACGGGCTGTAGCACCCTGCCAAGCTCCGAGGCAGCCTAGATCCCTTCCACCCCTTCTGAAAAGGGTGCAAGGAAGGCGCCAGCATCAGAGCRGCACCCACAGGGCCAGGGGCTCATGTACAGCCCTCAATTTGCAGCTCCAGCCGTGTGTACGACGAGCGTGCTCCCAACAAGCCAGCATGCATTATTCATAAATCCGCACGGAGCTGCCGAGCAGCATATGGAGCCGGTG